GAGGAGAGAGAGAGAGAGAGAGAGTGAGTAGGAGGGCGCGTGAGGAGGAGGACTGGCGGTGCCGAAGGTTATCGCAATACATTTTTCCTTTCTGCCCTCTTTTCCTTTGTCCCTGAGGTAAACAACCACGCCAGACAAGTCTTGCCTGGCACCCTTTCCAACACGCATCCTCTTTCTTGCCAGCGATGTTTGTCTCCTTATCGAAGTATACATCCGTATGCCGTTTTTTTTTTTTTGTCGCCTGCAGCACAGAGCGGCTGGCAAGAGGGATGCACAGGCCCTGTGGCACGTAACACATCCAAAATTGATACTTTCAGTTGCTTCTAGCACATTACGATGCCCGAGATATAAATGGTAGTACCCCTTCTTTCTTTTTGTGGGTCTGACGGATTGCGTATGAATGCGCCTGTCTCTATCTCTGTGTGTGTGTGTGTATCGCCCTCCGGCGCACAACTGAGCCGAGGCCTAACTGCTGTGCTTATTTCTGTCGTTGTTATGATGTTAACTCTTTTGTTAAGAGTAACAGGGCATCCCCAACGCGTACACATTGACAGCACTGTGATGTACGGATACTGGACGAACTCTTCTTTTCCCTGGACGGGAGGCTCATGTGCCACGCCCTATGTGGAAGTGGTGACACTACAAGCGAGTCATGCTGCTGCCTCCTTGTGTCGCCAGAAGATGCGGACTGGGCGGTTGTGTTTGCCCCTTTAGCATCTGACAGAGGCTGGCCCTCGCAAACCTCTGGAGCGAAGACGCACTGAGTGGACTCATTGAACTCAAGAGTCTGATGGGACTGAATACTCTCCACTCACCATTTTTCCTCCGGCTCCTTCCGTAGCACTCAAAGCCCGTTGTCTGGCGATATGATACGAGCGGACGCAGTGGACAGTGGTATTGAAGTGCTGGGCCATCTTCGGCTGCTGCGGCCTCGTGTGCCATTTAACTGTAAAGACATTATTGATTTGGCCTCATTTACTGCTTGTCCTTGTTAGGAGAGTACCTCTTGGCCACGTGGTGCAAGGCCCTGGCCGAAGTGCGTGTTAGAGTTAAAGCGTTGGAACGGCAGATTATTGCCAAGCACCAACATTGCTTTGCTGCAAAGGTGCGGTGTCTCCTGCGAGGTTTCGTAGGTAAAAAGAGAGAAGGAAACATTTTAAACTGCTAACGCGAGGGGGAAGGAGTCAAAAAGAAAGACTAGTGGGCCCCCACAAGCGGTCAGTCCTCATGTGGAAGTTGCTCTGAAATATGTTTTATTATTATTTTTTCTTTTGTTTTGTTTTACTCACTTTATGCTTTATGATTTTATTGGTGATTATTTTCTGCGGGCCTGCAAAAACGAATGATCTTCTCCTACGAGTTTCTGGCAAATGCAGTTCGTCATGTCATCCTTCTCAATTTTGACGCTACAGAAGCAGTCGCAAAGGGCAAGTGTGGGAAGGTCACCCTACCCCAACTCATTAATCCACCACGCACGGAAGCTGGGTGGGGGCGTTCTCAGCTTCTCCTTTTTTGCCATTACTTAATGATTGGAGAGAAGAGTGAGGAGTCATCGTCGTCGCTCTTGCCGTTGGGGTACTGCGTGAATAATATCCATATCGCGATGCAGGCGATGCTGAGGCGCATAACGTGTTTTTCCTTCTCCCCTCTCCATATTTTTCTCTTAGGGGAACCGTAAGGCGGCGAGTATTTGGTGTTGAATGCCCCATTCCGCGGCCTCTGAACTCTACGAGGAGTGCTGTGCACTCTACGGGGTGAGGCCGAACAGGGATGTGGCACAGCAGCTGGACAGGCCCAACTTTCTCACCATCCGGGAGATCGATGCCTCGAGAACTTTTCTGGGCGAATTGGGTGTTCGGGCACTTCTTGAGTTTGTTGGAAGCCACGCTGGGATTCAGCGACTTGTTCTCACAAAAAATGGTGTTGATGCGGCTTGTGTTGAGCACCTCTGCAGTGTCCTGCGCGAGAGCCCGTCGCTTTCTTCCGTCGATTTGTCTGACAACCGTATGTCAACGCCTTCCGTGCGACTCCTTTGGGAGACGGTGAGGGCTGTACCGCACCTTCAGGAGGTGAATCTTGAGAACTGCGGTGTAAGCGAGGATTGGGTGAATCGCCTGGGACGCTGCTGCAAGGCGAACAGTGAGTTACAGCAACTTGGGTTTCACCCGTACGGCCCAGAGCGCAGCCTTCGTAGCTGGGAGACGGTACTTGTTCTTGTGCTGGGCCCGGAGCCTCTTGTGGAGGCGTACTGCAGGGAAATCTTGCCGTATGTTAGAAGCTTTGTCTCAAGGCTCCGTCTACGGATTGCCCCACTCACTATTGAGAAGACGGACACACACGACGTGGTCAGAAGCAAAGTCTGGCGGTGTAGGTCGGCCTACAATTGTACGTTAAGTTGGTGTGTCGTTTTAATCGATGAGGCAACGTCGTGGATGGATCCGGATATCAGTGCCCTGACTGCTGTGCTGCAGCAAGAGGAACCTGTGATCCCTCCGTTGCGGAATAAATTTGGTGTTCTTCGCGATCCCATGCATCGCTGTGCAAGACACCTGTTTGTATATACACTACCCTACTTGCATGGGGAAGGGCTGGATGGAGGAGGATATGTGTTAACCGTCCCATCCAGTGTGTGGTTATCCTCAGTGGGTATTAGCGTGCCGGATGATGTCCGTGTTCCTTCCGCCGTGGCACTGCCCAGCAAGCGAAGCTGGAAAATACGTTGTCCGAGTGATCTTTGCACCGCCTTGTACGCTGTTTTTTCAGAGCAACCTCGCTCTATGACGCTGTTGGAGAAGAACGAGGAAACTGACGAAAAGGTATGGGAAACAGTTGAACGAGACAAACACTTTGGTTCGCTGCATCCAAGGTGCAAGGACATTGTTCACTACATGGAGACACCTGCCGGACAGTTATCGGTTCCTTTGATTTTGTACGGTCCGGGTGGCGTCGGAATGCCCAAGATTGTGTCTTGGGCGGCTGCAACCTATGCCGCGGTGGGGTCGCTTCGTGTCGTCCCTTATCACGTGGGCTGCGGGAACGAGAGCCTTGTCGTGCTGTTGTTTCACCTCCTTCGTGTATTTTCAAAGAAGCAGAGGCGGGTGTATCGTACTGTGGAGGAGCTATCCCTGGACGTCCGCGAAACGATCTCGGCCTACGACGGTCAAATGGTCCTGCTGTTGATCTCTTCCATCGATCACTTGGACCTCTGTGGATGCCGGGAGTCGGCCGTGCTTGAATGGCTTCCCGCGTCTCTGCCGCCATCTGTTCGCGTCATTGCCTCGCTAAACACGGAGAGTCCGCTTCTTATCGCACTTCGGAAACGCATGCCGCAGCCGTACGAGGTGCTCATTACGTCGCTTCCAAAGCAAGTGAGGGTCGATTTGTTTCTGCAGGAGCTTTTGCGGCGTGATGTGCTTGGGAAATCAACAGAAGCCCACTCGCTAAATGGTAGCAGCCCTACCCAACAACTTGATGGACTCAAGTCGTTGGAAAAGGCCTTTTTAATGAAGGATGGCTCGGAAAGTGCATCCTTTGGTATTTACACCGCCTCGTTTCTCCAGCGATTGCCGGAGGATTTGCTTGAGCGAGACACGGCGTTTCTAATTGCCGAGGAGGTACCAGACACCCTGGATGAAGTTATTACGCAGCTGCTGAGACGATATGAATCGTTGAGCGACACACTCACGGTTCAGTTTCTCACAATGGGCCTCGCTGCGGCGCCACTGCCCATTTCTGAGATTATTTACATCTGTGAGGAACTGGGGCCCTGCGCACGTCATAAAACTTTACCAGTGCTTTTGATGATGTCAGATGACGGCCTTTTGACTCTGACCTCTGACTCCATTGTTCATTTGTCTGACTCTGATGTGCGTCGTGTGGTTTTGAAACTTTACGCCGACATGCAGGACACTCTCAGTGTATTGGTGGAGACGCACCTGTTTCGGCTGGTCAAGACGCGAAGTCCAGATATGTCCTTCTGCTTTAGACATTTGGCATCAATCATGATTGCGAACGGCAGCCTTGATGCCGCCTACGGTCTCGTCCTAAATCCAACTCACATGGACGCTCTGCTGAGCCGCGATGTAGAAAACTGCACCTACGCTATTGATTTGGTGATTCGTCTTTTAAACACACATCAGCTTCTGCTTGAATTAGACGAAGGCGGTTCTTGTTCAATTAAGTCGAACATTGACCTTCTTAACCGTGGGGCTTTGCAAAGTGCTCTTGAGGCATTGCAGTCTTACGATGGATGTTTCTTTCAGGCCGCCTTGTTGGCCTCCGATGTATCGCCGTATCAGACACGGGCAATGGAGGCAAAGGAGGTTCCCTACACGGTGCTTGTGCCTTTGAACCGCGGCGACGAGGATGACGCAACACACTCGTTGGAGTGCAAGCATATGCCTGTTTATTGTCATTTGTGGGGAGAATATCTTGTGGTGACAACAACGCAGGAAGTTATTGTGTACTCTGCAACGGATTTTGAAAGCGAGCTTGCGCGTTCTTTTCTGCCTTTTGAATCCAACCAGAATCTTTGTGGTTCTTTAGTTGCTGCGGGAAGTCGTGTCGTTGTGATTGGCGATGGACAATTACTATTGTGGGACTTTGCCAGTCAATCATTTACAATGTTTGAGGATACCACGTCCTCCTTGAATGAAAATGCATTGGACTCCTTTGGCCTAAGCCTCCTCGTTCGCCATCCCTCGAAGGAGCAGTTCTCCATCATCGACGTATCCAAGAAGAAGGTTGTTATGGAGCTCCCGATCTTTGAGACACCGGTACGTGAGGCACTCTTTTGTGGTAGTGGGATTCTTGCTCGCGCTCTGTACGATTTGTTCCTCATGCGTGAGGAAGAGGAGGAGGTGATGAAGCTTGCGCATACAGGGACTATTCGTGGTGTTAGTTTTAGCAATGACAGTCGCCTCATTGCTTCTTGCGTCAGGGAGAGTATCTGGATTTGGTCTGGGACCGGGGAGCTTCTGCACCTCATCGACGCTGGCTTGACACCCGTTGAAGATATTCGTTTTAATGCAAGCGGGGCTTTACTGCTCTCGTGGCAAAGTGAGGGAGTGAAGGTGTGGAACTCGCTGAATGGGGACTGCGCCGGGACTGTGGAGCTTTGCTTCGATGAGAGGGCCTCGTTCCTTTGTTTTACGGAGGATGGCTCAAATATTATTGGTCGCTGTGGCCCACGCATTTATCTATGGGATGTCCACACCCGTCAGCCTGTGGGGGTTCTTACAGCCAGTACTGGCCACTTCACGTTTGTGCAGGAGCGAAATCAAGTGGTTATTGGAACAACATCCAAGAAAGAGGTGAAAATATGGCGGGTTGGCGATGCTCCCATACCATCTATTCAGCGGGTAAGGGAAAAAAGGCTGACAAGCATGTGGCGTAAAAATGCCAGGCTTTCAACTGCTCCCATCATTGGAGTAAGTGTGAATTTGAACGGAACCCTTCTCACTGCTGTTGATGACAACGGTTCGGTGATTCTGCAACCGATGGACGGCTCTGTGAGGTGGGACTGCAACGTCAGTAATGTCGAAAGTGCAGCTATTATGACTGATATGCTGTTATTCACTGTGAAAGGTGAGAGCCATCGCTTCTTTTGGAAACGACTGAGTGAAGATGACACTGTAAACGAGGTATTACTGCCAAGGGATGCCGCGAGCAATGCGACTCTGGATCTTAAAACGGCAGAGTTTGGGAATTCCATAGCTGTAGTTTCAAACTCTGAAGAACGCACGTTGATTTACGTCTATAACGCCTTCGATTGGAATTTGACAAACCAGTTTTTAGGTCATTCTGGGCGTATTGTTCAAGCCTTTTTTGCTGGTGATTTTCTCTTTAGTTTGGGGGTGGACTGCACTGTGCGGCTTTGGAGTCTCCTGCGGCATGCAGAGAGGGCATTGTACACCCACACCTGCGCTATAGTTGCAGCGGCACCAGGCCCCCTAATGACCCTTTTTTTCGTGGACGAACAATCGCGGGTGTACCATGTACATGTAGATAATATCGCATCCTCGACGCACGCGCGCTTTGTTGCAGAGGCGGTTGAGCTGACTCTGACGATTCCAACCACGGTGAGGGTCCGACACGTCATACATGCCTCCAACCTGCTCGCCATGTCCTCAGAGGACGGTTCCGTGTACCTGGTGGACCTGCACCACGGCGGGACTGTCGTCAGACTGTCTGACTACAAGTGCCTTTCGCTTGCTTTTGTCGTGGACGGGAGCGACGTGCATATCGTGACGGGCCACTCGACTGGCGAAGTCGTTTTGCACCTTGTGCGTTTCACCGAACCGATGTAAAATAAAACAAAAAACAAGTGACGGAAACGGCCAATGCCGCATCCGGCAAACAAACGCGCAAAGAAGACAACACCTGAAAGTATGTTTCTGGAGCACGCTGCAAAAAATAATAATAAAAAAAACGAAAGCAAAAAAGAAAAGGGAAAATAGAGTTAGCCGTAGCAAAACATGTGTGTTGGTCTGTTTTGTTTTTATTTGCCCGCCTTCTCTTTCTCCCTCTCTGTGTGTGTGTGTGTGCTTTGGCTTGTATGTCTTGGATAATTCTTTGATCGCTACACGCTTTTTTTTTTTTTGAAAATTATTTTATTGTACGCCTTTTGTTTTTGCCGCCGATATACGCGCATTGACGACTGCCGCCCACGCGTAAGAGTAGGAGAGTGACACGTGCACGCCGCAAGAGGACACGAAGGCACTCGTAGTTAACATCCGAGCCAAGGAGGGGTAACAGGAAACAGGAATCCTTTACAAACAAACGTAACCAGCACTATGCGGCGAGACGATTTTGAGCGTCGGCGCCTTCGTGATCTTTACGACCGGAACGTGCGCCGGGTGCGGGCACTGGCAGAGGCGCGAGATGCGAGAAGGACCGGCAGCGACGACGATGTGGCGGCTCCCCGTCGTTATGTCGTTAGCGAGCGTCGCACTCGCCTCGAGGGGTTTGGCCGTGGCGGCTATCAAGTGCGGCGCTCCGGCCGTGGCAACCGTGGCACAGAAAGCCGTCGCTTCAGCGACCGGGGTGTCTACCGTCGCGGCGCTCTGGACCGCTTTGAGCGCGAGGAGGACCTCGAGCGCAAGATGCGTCGTGCACGTTTTCGCGAGCGTCGCCTCAATGAGGGCGGGCTGCGGTTCGGTCGCCAGCGCCTGCGTCTTCACCGCAGCGAGCGACGGGAGCTCCGCCAGCTTCGTGAGCTTCGTGAGCTTCGAGAACTTCGTGAGCTTCACGCGTTTCGTGGTGCTCAGAGGGGCCGAGGCAATGGCGATCGCCGCGAACCACCCCGGCGCGAGACGCTAGACAAGGAGTTGGATCACTACAGAAAGGACCAGCGTGGCGGACGCAGGCGTGGAGGCGGTGGTCGTGGTGGGGCTGCTGTACAGCAGCCGCTTACAAAGGAGCGACTTGACGCGGAACTCGATCGCTTCCGCAGCGGAAACTAGTAAAAACAGGTTGGTTGATAAGGTATCATTAAGGGAGGTCAACCAAGCTGGCTTGATTGATGCAAGTCCAAATCTGGATGGCTGAGGGATCTTCTATGCATGCTGTAAGTACCTAAGAGAGGAGAAGCGAGGGGGTGACTAGAAAAAAAAAAAAAGCAAAAATGGAAAAAAAAACGCCTGTTGTTGTATTCATTACCGGTGCCTGCACACATGCTCATTTCCCACGAAACGTGACTGAGCCGTCAAATGGTGACATCCGTTATTATTACTGTTTTCTTTTTCCTGCCTTTTGAATAGACAATTGTGAGTGCCGCAGCAGGTTCTGTTTTTGCGTGAGAGATCGAGACGGCGTACGTTTTTGCCGCGAGCGACCCGCTCATGCCAGTCTAGAGATCCAACAAGCGAGAAGGCGGGAAGCAAAATGCTTCATCCCACGAAAAAGGAAGAGACATAAAGAAACCCGAGTGAGCCGCACACGCGCTGGGCCGAGGCAGAGATCTCTGGTGCCGAACTCTCCGCTTGGGTTTGCGGCGGCGGCGGTGACCACACGGGTTGTATTCTTTCCGTCTTTTTTTTTTGTGTGTGTGCGTGTGTGTCTTTGTGTTCCAACTGACAGGCACCGTCGGCCGTTGCAGTTCCGCCATTCTTTTTGCATTGCAGCATGACTTTCCATCTTCTACAAGACGCGAATTCCTACCCGCGTCCCGGACACCCACACATATGCACGCACACATGCACACACATGCCGGATGTTGTTGAATGACACTGTGGGATTTGGGTCAGTGACGCCCATGTTGGGCCCATCGCATCTCTTGTATTTGTCTCTGTTCCATCGTCTTGTGACGGATGGAGGTGTTCTGCTGCCAGTGCTATGTTGTACGGACTGACGCCTTAATGAATTCCGTGCATTGTGTTCCCAATAGTGACTTCTGCAGTCTACTCTTGGTGCATATTTTTTTTTTCTTCTAACACCATCTGCGCTTTGTTGTTTTCTGCTTTTGATGCACATTTAAAGTCATTAGTGAATGCGTCCGGGACGACCAGGGACGTTAAACGTAGTGAGTTGCGGAATACCTGCGCTTCATGCCAGCAGGCCGCCTCGTACGTTGCGCCCGGGTTACACCCCCCTGTCAACTACCCACACGGTCTTTGGACAGAAGCAGGCTACGGTGCCTGCTGTGCCGCGCCGCAGAAGCTTGCTTTCGACAGACCACGTGGCCTTCGGCACGAGTAAGTCGTTAACTTTTGATAGACCATTTAAAGGCCCCATTAGCGTTTCGGGATTTTTCTTGGCAGTGGACCCCAATTTCGCGGCAGGGACACAAAGCCGAATGAACCCAAATGCACAAATCACTGTACGTGACAGTGAGGGAAACATGTCGCGCGTGCGTTACCGCTGTTACCTAGAGTCCGATACAGGACTGAAACTAGAGGCACTTATACGGCTCCAGGTCGGCTGGATCTCACCAAAGGTGACTTTCTCCTTTATTCCCTATGTCATCTACCTTGGAAAGGGCTTTGATGTGAGCATTCCGTTCCTTATCCACTTCACCATGGTGCCAGTATTGGATGAGCACGGGGACCACACGGGAAGCTTTCTCTACTTTAGCGGGACCCCCATGCTTGGATTCTCGGCAGGCCTTACCCAAATTCAAAAAGGGAAGTTGGTGCTAAACCCATCAAGGAAGGTGGATCCCGTGGAGGAGTCCAAGCAGTTTGTTGGTAATGTTCATGTTCGACAATTGGGCTTTGTCCTACTCAAATGCCTCATTTACGCGTTGTGTTTTCTCGCGTGCGTTCCAGCTTCGCAGCGCGTTCTTCAGTGCATTCTGCCTGACCCTTTTCACCGACACAGTGAAAGCGCAGTTTGACGGATGTCTGATTGCTTTTTTTTTGCTTGTTCGTTTGTTTGACTTTATAGTCTCTGGCGATACCTAAGCCCCCATTTTGGATGAATGAGCCGTTGTTCTGGTTCTTCTTTAATTGTTTTTTTATTTCCGTTTTTTTTTTTAAATACCCATATTTTTTTTTTTTTTTTGTTACCGAGTTTTCCTCTGGGCTTCAGGGGCGCAGAGACGCCGGAAGTGTCTTTGTCGTTTGCCCTTATTACTTTCTTCTCTTTTTTGAAGGTTTTTCCCCTTCACTGCCCCACACGACTCTTCTTCATCTTTCCCTCTTTTTTTTCTTTTTGCTTGGCGATCTCTGGCCGGGTGGGTCGCACAGATGCGGAGAACAGTTACCGTTTTTTGGCAATATGGCATCCACACCCCTCGTGGTGTGGCGTATCACGGCGCCAAGATGAAGCATTGGCCGGAGCAAAAAATACCTGAGAATTTCAAATTTACGGAGGAGCAGCGCTTTAGGGCGAAAGCCATTCCTCGAGATGTTGGGAAGATACCCCGCAACTTTGTCCTCAGCGTCCTCTATCGCCACCAGCCGTGCGAGGTGGGTGGCCTTTGGGAGTACTGCACCAACGACCCTGAGGTAGTTCTCGACAGCAAACGACATCTGCGTGAGGTGCTGCAGCAGGCAAGAGAGGAGGGTTTTGTAACGTTTGAGCGGGACCCCGTTTCAAATGAATGGCTCTGTTTTCTCACACGGGAGCGTTTCGAGGAGGTGCGACAAATTGCTGGAGCAAAAGCTGAGGTGTCGGAAGTCCACTCGGGGCTGCGTGGTTTTAGCGCGGCGGAGACGTCGTCATATACGGAGCGATTTAAGGAAATGAATGAGACAGCAAAGGAGGAACACGCACGTCGTCTTGAGGAGGAGGTGACAGCCACCACACGGCACCTGCGTTCCTTTCAGCGGAGGGAGGTGGACTACCTACCGTACACGGATCTAAACGGAAAAGTCAACTTTATGTGGTGGTACGAGACGAGGGACGTGCTGCAGAAGGGAGGTAATGCACTCCCCGACTCTAGCGGAGGCACGCTGCCGGGTGACCCTGATAATGGCGAGGCACGTCTTGATAGATGACGTTCTTGTCTTATTTCTTTTTCTTCCTCCTTTGCGACTGAGGTCATCTCTTCTGTTCCTCCCCCTTCCTCCTCTTTTTTTTTTCACGCGCATTTCTGTGTATATCTATGTGTACCCATTTGAGTTTATTTGTTTATTTTTGCGTTTTTTTTTCTTGTTTTGTTTTTCAAGTCTATTGTTACTTTTTTTTTTTTTGTCTGTGTGTGTGCTGCTCCTGCTGGTTTGTAGGAAATGAGTGCGCAAGCCGCGTCGGAGTTGTCCTCCCGCTTGGAAGACATGGAGTTCTACAAGAACACCCTCTACCAACGGGTCCAGGAGTGCCCCATATCAATCACCCCAGGGACTGAAATGATGCGTTTCCTGCGGAGGGAACTCATTCGAGCCGAAGAAAGCGATGAGTCTGAGGAGTATCAGTTGGTGGTTGGGGATATGTTTAAGGTAGTGACAGACTCCTTAATCTCTGCGGTGCACCGGAGTGCCCCCTATGCCCACATTGATAGCAGCCTCCCAAGGGATTACCACGTCACAAAGGATGAGGACGAACTATTGATGGCGGATGGCATCTTCGACTCCGACGAAGAAGGTGACGCGGACAGTGAGTCCGTGACCAAGCCCTCCGTAAAGGAGAAGGAACAAAAACAACGCAAACGCGACGAACTGCGAAAGCGGCGGGAGGAGGAGGAGGAAATGCTTGTCAAGAAAAATAAGGTTCCAGATGATAAGGGAGGTCTATTGAATACGTTGGGCCCGTATGCCGCACCCCGTCTCACAATTAGAGCCTCCACTTTCACGTTCCCAAGTCGAAAGACTCTGGAGCAGCGTACCGCCTTACCTTCACCTGAGTCATCCTCAGAGGAGGAGGACAACAAGTACGAGGAGGAAACTGTAGGAGTGGTTTCTTCCTCCTGCTCCTCCGGTGGGGGCGAGGCTGTAGCTCATTTGACGGCTTTCATGAAACCCTTGTCGATGGATTCCCTGAAAAAACTCAGTGAGAGCGCCAAAGTGAAGAGAAAACCCTCATCATCAAATCGAGAGTATATTACACAGATTGTCAGAGCCGCTGTGCGATTTGGATGTGATAAGGCATGTCGCCTTATGGATAGCCATGAAATATTAGAGGAGATGACAAACCACTTTCAAGCTGGCCCGCTTAACACCGCAGCAAGCATCGACTTTTTACAATCCCTTCCCGATCAACTAAAACACGCTTTAGGTCACATTTTGGGTGTCTGGGAGGAAAGTCCCCAAGTGGAGGTCATGTGGGAGCGTATGGTGGCCATGGGGTTTTTGGGTGTTCTAACCAACCTTCGTCTAAGGCCGCTGAAGAAGATTGCGACTGAGTTGGGTGTGCCCATGCCAGATACGCAATCCACCGAGAAGTGTTGTGAAACTATCATGTTTGCCGCATTTCCACGGGAACGATTGCGGGCGAAAAATTCGCGCTCCAAGAAGCAAAAAACGCTTAACTTTACGGTTCCGCCAGCTGGAATGCGGTGTAAAGGGCATATGGGTTTTATTACGTTTCAGGTAGAAAATGTTTCTATATTACCCAAAGATAATGAGCGTCGCTACTCACCGGAGTTTGAGTTTGGCAAGCTGAAGTGGAGTCTTCTTTGTATGGCGAACAAGGAGTTTCTTGCGCTTTACTTGTGCCAGACTGGTAGCGTGTTCTGCAAGTTTCTGATCACGGTAGTGAATCATATGCATGTAGACGACTCTATCTGTAACGAGGGCACGCAGCGATTTTCGACACGGTCGCAGGAAAATGATTGGGGTTTTAATACTGTGATAAAGTTTGAAGAGCTGCTAAACCCGAAAAAGGGATTTTGGCAGGAGGAGGGTGATAGCGTCACGATCGAGGTTGGCATCGTCCTCGTGGAGACGCCGAAGCCGCTCAACCGTGCAAAAAGCACGTCGAATAAGGACAAGCAGACGGGACCCAAGGTGGATGAGAAGGCGGTGCGGCAGCTCATCGAGGATGAGAAGATGGCACAGGTCCGGAAGCGCATTAAGCAGGAGATTGCCAAAGTATTGAAGGATGGGGAGAAGGCGCGAAAAGGGATTGCACAGCGCGCTGCTAAAGGGTTTCACGACCTGGTGGAACGCTTCAAGGCAGAGAAGCAGCGCATCATCAAGGAGCTTGCGGAGCGCGAGAGGCGGGAGCAGCAGGAGCGTCAACGTGAGCTTGAGATCATTAAGCAGGCGCAGGAGCAGAATGCAGAGATGAAACGGCGCATTGAGACTTTGAAGAAGGAGAGCGCGAATTTGCTGCGAGAGAAGAAGGAACTGACGCAGGAGACAAGAGAGCTGAAAAAGACAAGCGAAAAGTATGCTCAGGAACTGCATGCAATCAATGAGAAGAAGATGATGCTGCAGCAGAAAGTCACACAACAGGAGAAGAAAATTGATGAGGCGGAAAAACGACTCCGTGATCTGCGGCAGGACGAGTCGCTCAATCTATCATCCGACGACGATGAGGCCAATGTAAGCGATGACAGTGAAATCATGTCTCGACTCAGGGAGTCGCTTGAACAGTTCATCGGGACAGATGCAAAAGGTGCCTAATGCGCATGCCAGCGCCTTTGACGGGAGGCGAAGTCGCCTTTTTACGGCTAGCGGAGTCGATACACATAAAATAAGAAGAAGAAAAGGAAGAAAGCGAGGTGAGGAGAATAGAAATCACATTAACAAGAACAACAGCAACGCAAAGTAAGTTCTCCACCTCCTTTACTGACTCGTCACTACAGTGTGTTTTTTTCCCTTTTTGTTGTTTGTTTTGGTTCATTGGTGTTGTCGTTGTTGACCTCAGGACCGTTTCTGTTCCGCTGTGCGATTTTGAAGTAAATACGTATGGGAAACGGGGAAAGGGAGTATCACAAGTGCGTTGGACCGCACATGCCGTGGTGACACCAAATGTCTCTTGCGTCTGTTTTGTTTGTTTTTGAGGGGGGCAGATGAACTTCTCTTCTCGTTTATTAGTATTTTCTCCTTTTTGATCTTTGCTCAAGTGACACACCTCAGGCAGAAATTTTTTATGCTTCTTGAACGTCTACGGGTTGCACCCTCTGCGGTGGCCGGTGTAATTTTTGGCCTGACGCTTATGCTGCTTGTCGACGGCATCATTACAGCGCAAAGTGAGGCGAACGTGGCGCACCGCACCACTTTTACGATGCTTATGCCTGCCATTTTCTCCATGGTTGGTTTCTTTATGATGATTCTTGTCTCTCCCGTTGAGGTGAAAAACGACGTAACGAGGGCCAAAGTAGTGCTTTTCATTAGCTGGATTTTGTGTTTTAGCTCCGCCGTCGCCGCGCTTGTATTGTGCAAGCTGAAGTTCACGGGGCTGCAGGAACGTAGGCACTCCGTTTTGGGAGTGGCGCTGGTCGGATTTACCAGTCTTATGCCACTCACTGGCGCCATCCTTTGGTGGAGCAAGCAGTCTTCGCTGGACGACTATTAGCCGTAAACTTCCTACCAGGCCTTCTACGTGTTTCCATGTACATTTGTTCTACCGTTGGTGGATCGTCAAGTTTCTTCCTCTTTTTTCTCTCTCTCTTTATATATACATGTATATATAAAGAGAGAGAGGTACGATGGTCCGATGTGGTCTTCAGTTTTTTTTTTTTTGTCATTTTGTTTCTGTGCTACCACTAGGCATTTGGAGAGTGCTGGAGGGGACGACCGGAGACGAAAAGGGAGGACCCGGCGCTCTCACACACATGCGAAACATATATATATATATATATTAATATACTTGGGCGAGGGCACAGCTGAGGACCTTCAACGTGCCCTGATGCGGTCACGGCGTTTTGCGACGGCTCTCGTGAGCTCTTGCCGATGCTTTGACAGCTCTGGAAGATTTGGGAAGGAGCTCGGATTTGGTCACAAGGTGCGTGACATCCCCGTTCTCACGGGAAACCCTAGGCTCGTTGCGCGGTAGGAGGAATGACGCTGCGCCTACAAACTTACCGAGCGCATGGAGGATGTTATTAGAGACATACTGAGGAAAGATGGATGGAGTGAGGTGGAGGTGCAGCGGGAAATGGGGCAAATTTTGGAGAGAAAAAACTCACGACATTTGCTCTTCTTTGAACACATGGGCCGCCGTTGAGGAATTTCGGCGAACCCCCCTGGTACGGTCGGTACAAGCCGACAGACACATGTGCTGCCAAGCACATCTCTTACGAGGTGATCAAGCTGCTGGAGCGGGCGTTAATCCCTCCATCGCTGAGGACCGACCCATACGCGCATCTTCGGAAGCACCACATGGAGGACAACTGGATGAACGATAAATTCTCGGAGGAGGCAGCAAAGTACGTAAAACGCTAACAGCTGGCCAAACAGACCAAATGTCTTTCTGGATACGGACAAGTAGCCCGACACAAGTTTTTAGCGTTTGAACAAACGTTCAAGGCATCTTACAGCGGGAAACAACACATGAATGAGTCCTACTCCGCCTGGTTGCAGTCCCTCAATGACAAGTGAAACAGTGGAAGAGCTATCGTTTCTGAAATTTGGGGTCACAAACAGTTTTTTTTTGTTTTTAATTATTTTTTCTTCGCAAGTGAAATTTTGTCACCTTTTTTTTGTCTGAAGTTTTTTGGGTTGCTGTGCGTCACTGCTGGCACTTTTTTTTTTCTTGTTTTGGTTTCAGTTTTCGTCATTGTTTTCTTCTGTCTCTCTCTTCTTTGTCCAGTGAGGGGGCTCTAGTGGAATGCCGTGGAGGAAGCTGGACTCCGGAAAGCAGTCCCGCAAGGAAAAGAGGGAACTTTCCCTTGTGCGTGGCGACGCCGAAGAAGAGGCATCTCTGTTAAGTAAACGCTATCAGGATGTAGAGGAGCGCCGGTTAAAGGAATGGGAAAATTATCAGAGAAGCCATCGCTCGACTGAGGAGCAACAGTCATCTCGCGCATTCCTGGACATATCCATTAGCGATGTTCTGGCCGGGCGATTAGTTTTGGAGCTCTTTGAGGAGACGGCTCCTAACACGGTGCGCAACTTCCGAGCACTAATCACGGGATCCTGCGGTGTGGATCCTGTCACCGGCGTCAGACTGGACTACCTGGACACGCCAGTCCACCGCGTGGATCATGCAACAAAGCTCATTCTTCTCGGTGAGCTGGAATCCCTTAACATCTCCTCCACCGGCACTCCCCTTCAGGATGAGGGGTACCACAAGCGCCACTCAGAGCGGGGACTGCTTACCATGATTACTGACGGCCCACACACAAGCGGCTCTGTCTTTGGTATTACCTTGGGTCCCTCACCTTCCCTTGATTTTAAACAAGTCGTCTTTGGAAGGGCCGTTGACGACCTCACGTTGCTGGATAAACTTGAGCATCTTCCGCTTGATGCTATTGGGCGCCCCCTTGTACCAGCTGTAGTCACTTTTTGCGGCGCGTTAACGGGCCCAAAGCCGTCCGGTGTTAACCTCTTTATGCATGAGACCAATGAGAACACAACGGGTCACACTGTCGCTGAAGACGCAGAAGCTTAACCCGTTCACAAAACATTTTTTCTTGCGAGTGGTGACTGTACGCTGTCACACGTTGTCATTTGCTTCTATCAAGGCAAAAAAAACAAAAAAAACACGAGGACGTGGTTAGGGGATGACTCGCAACCGATGTAGATGAGCCGCAAGGAAAGGAGGAAAAATGTTTCTTTTTATTGTTTTTTTCCTCTCAGTTTTGAAAATGCCGAACATCTTTGGTGATTTTACGCAAGTGCGATAAAATGTTGTGGTTTTATAAATAAACTGTATTCCACAACTTTCTGCTTCACATTGCGCTTTTCTGCATCTGGCGCGTCTTGCCTTTTCACCTTGTAAAGGAAGCTAAACGGGATAACGTGTGATTGGAGCTGTTGCAGGCTTTGCCGTTGTGTCTCAGCGGTTGCACCACGATTTGTGATCTCTCGTTGCAGTCCGTTATGCGATGAGGGCTCACAGGTGATGTATTACTTCTTGGGAAGTGTGAAGCCTTATCAGTACAACAAGGCTCTGGTGGACCATTTGTGGGATGGGAATGTCTTCTGCGTCCATGCTACTTTGTGGGAATCGTGATTCTGGTAATTTTCACTCCAAGCACCTTTTCTTTCCGACGGCTTCCGCTTCTTGGGAGCGGGGAACAGAGAAGGACAAAAGATGTGGCTTTGGTACAATCACATGTACACTGCCTTCCTTGGGAGCAATCACAATTACGGTGTCTGTGTTGGCGTGCCGAAGTCGAGTAGAGGAGTGAGGAATATGTGGAGCGGCAACAACACTCCCGTGAAGGGCGCTCTGCACTGAGGAGGAGGGAGGGGGGGGGGGGTGTTGACGTAAAATCTTTTTTTTCTTTTTGAAATCATTCTTTACTTTGCTTTTATTTTAGTTTTGTGCTGACAGGGGCTGATGGCGGATTTGTGACAATGGCGTTTGTGAAGTATTTAAGGACAGATCGGTGTGGCAACGCCAGTGATAGACATGGAGAGATAGAATGCGAAGAAACTGTCCGAGGCTTATTCGGTGAGTGTGGGATGACAGAGGAGGTTTTTGCTCCCCCCCCCCTCCCAATAAGAGAGAAGACGAATACAAGCAAACTGAGGTGTCCCTCCTCTGCTGGAGGGACCCTCTTGTTGGCGGCGGACGGCGTGTTGTAGTGCGGCCGCATCTCTTATGTTCCCACAAAAAAGTCGTTTTGTTTGAGTTTTATGGATGACGAATTGCTGCATCGTTTTCAGATGGGGTGTGGGATGTACAGACGCAGCGCGTGTGCATGTGTGTTTCTGCTGAGGTTGCTCTACGGTATTCCACCCGGACGCTATTGGGGCACCTTTCTGCTTTTCCTCTTTGCCTCCTTACTATAGGAGTACTTTGGAACTGCGTGTTTGAGCCCTGCACCTTTTGAGGACGCTTCTGTTAAGGCCTGTGCGCGTTGTTGCTGAATTATAAGTATGTTTACGTATGTATGAGCGTGTGTGGTCTGGTTGTGATTGAGCATTGGGAACGTGACAAGGGAGAATAGTTTTGGCGATGGCAGTGTGTCCGCACTGCGAATTATGGCGGTGCTAATATGCAATGTATATATATATATATATACATTGCCCTGCTTGTTTATTCTTCACCTCTACTGTCTCCACACACACGGAAGGAGAAAAGAGACAAAACGCTACTTGCTGTTGTGCACATTGAAACGCTCTGCAGTTAACACCATCACACACACACACACACACACAGAAACACAATCGTCGCAGCCTGAGCGGATCCACCACAACGAGGGAAGAGAGTGTGAGTAAGCAGCGACACATGCCCAAGATGTACCGGCACCTGTTTTCTTATTCGGTGCTGCTGCTGTTTGTACTCTTGACATGCTGTGGCAGTCAAGCTGCGGGGAGTGTGCCAGGGACGGCCGTTAATTTATTCACAGGGACGACACCGATAACTGGTGCCAAATGGGAGGGAATGCAATGCGTTGAAGGGTCAGTTCGCTCGCTTCGTGTCCCTAGCCTTGTGGAGGTGGACGGTGCTGTGTTTGCCGTTGCTGAGGCCCAGTGCAAGAATGGAGTTGACAGCTTCACTGGCATCGTATCACAGCACCTCAAGGAAATTGGAACAGAACCGACTGAGATTCCGATGGGTGCAGGCACAGGTTCCTTCACACGCA